GAGACAGTCAAAGAAATACAGGACATCATTTAAATTATCCATGAAGATACAACTGAGATAAAAAACACTAAATTAAGACATTGACTACAATTCATCATTACATATATTTAGTATACTTTGCATTCGTTTTAAATACTTTTATTTTTAATCATTTATTTTTTTAGGTTTTAATAAAGATTTTGAAGAATTATGGAAAAGACAAATTTGTACAAAAATCATCCTAACCATACACATATTGTGGTATTTTACTATGTGTAATACAGTGGGAGAACTGACTTTTTTGGTTTTATCCAAATGTGCGGATAGCAAGAGTCGCCACCGACTTTTCTTTTATCAAATATTTAGGAAATGTGAAAAGAACAGGAAAGACCTTTGATAGATTTTGACTTCGGGGGGTAAGTTATGAAAAGGGAAGGTGTTAACACCCTTTTCATCCGTAGTTATCTACGGGCCATTAATTGCTAGCTCACTTTTGAAAATTTTCTTTGCGCGTGTGATTTGAAAATATTTTTGAAAAGCCAAAGTACTGCCAACTTTGTAATGATTTTTGTATCAGTCCAAGAATGCGTACAAAGTGTTTGAAAATATTTTGTTTGAAAAGTGTGATGTGAAAAAATGTTTATTTCAAAAAAGAGTTGTGAGCAAGCGATTAAGAGTATCTTACCCACTAAAGGCTGTTCTTGTTCTTTTCCTTCTCCTTTAGAGATAGTGCTATCTATACCATTAGTTTGTAGGTAGCCTCGTCTATTGGATGTGAAGGGACATGTGTAGGATCATCGAATGGTCATTGAAGGCAACATGTAGGAATACTTTAGCAATTTGTATCGGAGGGACTAGATCATTTTCGTAGGCAGCTTCAAAGGGTCATTGAGAAACTATGACTTTTATTCGTAAGGGTCTTTTGCTAAAGTATCCCTACTTTCGAGGGACATGACCATTAATCATAAGGCAACAAGAGAGGTTACCCTAGATGTGCAAATGTGAAGAGTGTGTTAATTTCAATTGTTTATCTTGAGATTAGGGTTTTTCTACGCTCAGTTATTAGTCTTGCCAAATAAACCCTAGTTACTAGCAGTATAAAATATAGCAGGAAAAGTAAAGTGCAGAATATAAAGTCTTACGCTATTACATGGCTTTGGGGCAGTTACATAAATATGAAAATGCAGGAAAAGCAAAGTGCGGAATTTAAACCTAAGATATTACATCCCGTGAGCAATTACATAATTAGAAAAAAAGCGCAAGAAAATAAGTCTAAACTATTACAAGAAAAACTGTGCGACCTATACATTTGTCTAAGAATTAAATAGCAATAAGAAAAAAATGTTAGAAAAAAAGTTTGAATGTTTTGTGAAAATAATTTGAATGATAGTAGTGATTAAAACCTAAATTCTAATTGATTTTAATATTTAAGAAAAAATTTATTAACTAATTAATTAAAAAGAATGTCAAAATTAATTATTGATAAAAAAACTAAACCTAATTTGTTAGGGTTTTGAAAAAGGATTAGGGTTTGTTAGAAGTTAATTATGAAATAAATAAGAAAAAGAGAGAAATTTTGGTTAGTGAAATAAAGGAAAAAATAATGTTTGGGGTGGCTGTTGAACCCATGCCCCCTGCCTCTCCAGCATGCATACTTGCTAACCGAGTTGCATTGCATTTGTGTTTAGAAACAAGAATAACTCAAAATATTATGAACCTACGTGTTAGTTTGGAAAATTAAGCAAAACAATGCCAAAAGACTGAGATCGAACCCACATCCTTCATGATACGCGCGCGTCTGCCTTACCACTGAGTCACACTTCTTTTCTGTTACTCAAACACAAACAATACATTATATAATAAAAAAAACTAAAATCAGAGAGACGCCGGAGCCCTATCTCCCTTCGTCTTCTCTGATGATACAAAATCCTCAACCTGCGAAAACCTACCAAATAAAGATTAAGAGGGACCCTACCCCCTAATTTGAGGGATGTGAATTCAATGGTAATATTGGTTTGGCTTGAAAACTCCTGTATACAGAGTTTCAAAGGAAACAAAACTTCGTTCCCTAACGATGGAAGTTCATGTTCTCTATGTTAGAGCTTGATTTTTTTGGTTCAAACCTGTCTCACACACCATAAACACATTTGGTCAATCAAAAGTAAACAACAATGCATAGATTGACAAATTCGAATTGAGAAATTTTACCAAACTGGTGGGCTTGAATGAACGATTCGAGGCATGGACAAGCTTGCTTCTTGGCTTGATAGTGATCCTGGGAACTTCAAGAATGCGATTGGATGCTTGGTTTCGATTGAAGGAGGCTGCAAATAGGGTTTTGTGTTTTCCCTAGTTTGAGAAGTTTTGAGATTTTTGAGAGTTCTTGTAAGCAGCCTGTGTGTGTCCTTTGATGTATGAATATGTTCTCTATTTATAGGCTATGAATTAGGTCAACAAACATGAGCTAAATGTTTGTACTTCATGACAAAATATTTGATTGAGAATTTTGCATGAAATCTTCCCTTTTTGAGCCAATCATGTGCCAATCTATCCCACATATTTTTTCTAATTGATCATCTGATTTGTTATCCTTGTGATTTGATTTAGAACAAAGGCCATGTGCCTCATATCATTTCTTTAGTATTTTATTTGATTTATTTTGCTTTTAATTGAATAAAATCAAAATAAAAGAAATAAAAAAACCACAAAAATAAATATATGGAATTAGAGGTTCATGACGAGGTCAGGAACATGTTTGGACCTTAAAAGGTAAACTCATTAGCCCAAAAAATCAAATTTGTTCAATTTGATTTTCATGCATTTCCTCAAAATTGTCCAACTTGCACAAATCATATCTCACTAATTTTTCATCATACGAGAGTGATCTTGGACGTTTTAGAAACCTCAGGACATCCCCTATAACTTTCATGTTTGTCAGTTTTTCATTTGAAGCTTTTATCTTGATGTAAAGTGTTGTCGAAGAGTGTATTTTTGTTGACTTTTAAAATGACCTGTAATGTTTTGGCTCATATCTCTTAAATGAATCATTTTTTGACCTTGATCTTAGAGATTCAAAGTTGTGGAGAATTGAATTTTCATCAAAATGGGCTTTGGTTGAGAATTTTTTGATGAAGTATGTGAAAGTTATGCTTGGTCAAAGTTCAACTGACTTCTCCTAAAGAAAACCCTAATTTAGTAACTTTTGACTTTTGATGAATCTTGAGGTTTCTTGATGAATCATGATCAAACCTTGGTCAGATAATGAATGTGGGTTCAAAATATTGATGTTGATCAAAAATCTTGAAGTTTGACTATAAATTGGTCAAAGTTGACTTTTTTCCCAATACAATTGATTTTCAATCATCTGAGCAATTGACTGAGCAAATTTGTGTTGCAAGGCTTGAAACTTGGTGAGGATACTTTGAACCATACCAGACACCATGAAGTCTATTTTAGGCATTGGAAGTCCAATTTTCTCTGAAAAAACCAAAATCCTAGTTATATGCCACTGCTTAGGAGGATGATTTATCTGATCAATTCTTTAGTAGTCTTGAGTAATTGAGAACCTTAGGAGCACGAAGAGGTATCTTGAATCATATTGTTTTGAATAATGGACGGACAAATTTTAGAGTACAACACTATGGAAGTGATAATGACAAAGAAGGATAGGACTTGCACACAAGAATGAGAAGAAAAAAAAGAAAATAAGTAAGATTGAACAAATCTCGCCGCATAGGACATGTAGCAAGACGTGCTATGAAGCACATAAAACATCTTTTTGCTACTTGAACTATTGCGGTGCTACATTCAAGTAATGCGACACATGTTTACGATCATGGGGCTACTAACATATGATCTACATCACAAAATCGCAATGCGCCATTAGAGCAATGCAACACAATTTTGCGAAAATATAATTTTTTTTCTTTAAATTGCCAAACATGCTCACTTGTGAGGGTTCCAAATTTAATGTTTTCTTTTCTTTGCATTTACATATTTGGGGTAATTAGTTTAGATCATGTTTGAGAACTAATTATAGTTAATACCATTAGAATTAAATATTATTTGAAGGTTGTTTATAATCACTAGACATACATAGAGTATAAACAATCAAAACATATGTATTTACAGTCAATAGACCTTCTTAGCTTGCAACTTTGCCCAAAAATTCAAATTAGGTTTAAAAATACTATTAACATAACTCATAAGATACGTAGGATTACTACATAATTTATCTAAATTTTCACATTGATTAAGTATTTATTTGTATTTTACCTTTGTTGGTTTTACGTATCAATCAAAAACTACCATAAAGAGAAGTGTATTATTATTTAGAAATTATTGCAATATCCAATGGATTTTTCCAAGTTCTAAAATGAAATAAAATATTTTGTGGCTAAAATCTTTTTGATACTTTAAAGGTGTCACAATTCACAAGAGATTATTCATAAACAATGACCTTATTCACTCACTCAAAACCATAATGTGACAAACAATTACCTCATAAATGGGAAAGTGATGTTTCCATACCCCAATGCTACTACACAATTTAACATTGACCCTACCATCATAATGACACAAAAAAGTGGTAGCTCAAAATTTCAACCTCGTTTTTCTCATGAACTTCTCTCAAAATTTCCATGACTTCCACTATAGCTAGCAACAACCTTTTCATCCTTCTTTGCTTCATACTACAAGATACCATGTCTACATAGTTTATGTTTCTAACATTGAATGGAAACCAGGTATGCAATCAATACTATGTAACATTTCTATATGATATGCTAGTTTTGCTATCATGTTGTGATTTATAATTGTATATGTTTTTGCTTCAATGAATAAAACAATAGTATAATTTGTTAGGATTACGATCCCGAGTTTGAATCCTGACTCGAACAATTGTTGGTCAGACTTAACTTCAGGGTTTTCTCTAAGAAGTAGTGATCTTTCAAAAATCTATCATTTTTTTTATAGTTATTAATTAGTTGAACTAAAATCCAATGTTTAAATGCAGATATGAAATGATGGGCTTATTAAAAAATGGAACTTTGTTTTTGTATATTGTGATGCTACTTCTGTTAACAACCTGTCAAGCCAAAGATCAACACATTCACCAGATACAGCCTGGATTCAGTGCATCTCGGTTAGATTGGGACGATCATAACGGGTTCTTTTTACTATCGAACAACTCGGCTTTTGCTTTTGGATTCTTCACAACCCTTGATGTTTCTTTGTTTGTTTTAGTAGTCATTCATTTGAGTAGCTTCAAAGTTGTTTGGACAGCAAATAGAGGCTTTCTTGTTAGAAATTCTGATAAATTTGTGTTTGAACATAGTGGAAATGTTTATTTGGAAAGTGGAAACGGTTTTGCTTGGGCAACAAACACAACAGGACAGAAAGTCAAGGACATGGAGTTGTTGGATTCAGGAAATTTGGTTTTGTTTGGTGAAAATAGGAAAGTTGTTTGGCAAAGTTTTAGTCATCCCACTGATACACTTTTGCCTGGTCAATCCTTTGTTGAAGGAATGAGTCTTAAAAGTTTTCCGAATCGAATGAACTTGTTTCATTTTCTTAGTTATGTAGAAGGTGATTTGGTTCTGTATGCAGGATTTGAAACTTCACAACTGTATTGGTCCTTAATGGGAGAAGTTAGTAAAAGTCCAAGTTCGGGAAATGTGACAAGTAGTAAAAAGGTTCACTATGCTTCTTTGGTTTCTAATTCATGGAACTTTTATGATAAAAATGGAGTTTTGGTTTGGAAAATTGTGTTTTCTGATCATTCAGATCCCAAGTCATTCTATGCTGCGATTTTGGATCCAAATGGTGCGATTTCTTTCTATGATCTTAACAAAGGAAAGTCTATTAACCCTGAGATATTGAAATTGCCACAAGACGCTTGTGGAATTCCTGAGCCTTGTGATCCTTACTATGTTTGTTTCTTTGAGAATTGGTGTGAATGTCCTAAGCTTCTTCGATCGCGTTTCAATTGCAAACCTCCTAACATCTCAGCATGTTCTCCTCATGGAAGTTTGACAGAACTTTTATATGTTGGTGAAGATCTTGATTATTTTGCACTTAAATATGATGCACCTGTTTTGAAAAAATCGACTTTGAATTCGTGCAAAGAGGCTTGTGTAAGAAACTGTTCCTGCCTTGTGCTTTTCTATGAAAACAGTACTGGTAGTTGCTTTCATTTCGAGCAAACCGGGAGCTTCCAACGGTTTAAAGGAAGCAGCGGCGGTTATGTTTCGTATATGAAGGTTTCAACTGATAGTGGTGGAAATGACGGCGAGGATCATGGAAGAAAGACCATGCTGCTGGTTTTTGTTATAGGGATTCTCACAGTTTTGGCCATTTTGGGTCTTATAGCTGGATTCTGGTGTTACTATTTCAAGAAGAAGAATTTTGATGAGTATCCTCAAGAAGATACTTTCGAGGAAGATGAATTCTTTGATAGTCTCTCTAATATGCCGGCGCGTTTTACCTATAGAACACTTGCTAGAGCAACTAAGGATTTCTCCACGAAAATCGGTGAAGGAGGGTTCGGCTCGGTGTATCTAGGTGTACTTGAAGATGGTAAAACACAATTGGCAGTGAAAAAGTTGGAAGGTGTAGGACAAGGAGCAAAAGAGTTCAAAGCAGAAGTATCGATAATCGGAAGTATTCACCATGTTCATCTTGTGAAGCTTAAAGGGTTTTGTGCCGAAGGTCCTCATCGAATGCTTGTTTATGAATACATGGCAAGAGGTTCATTAGATAAATGGATCTTCAAAAACAGCGAAAACACAATGTTGTTAACTTGGGAAGCAAGGTACAATATTGCAATAGGCACTGCAAAAGGATTGGCCTATCTTCATGAAGAGTGTGAAGTTAGGATCATTCACTGTGATATAAAACCACAAAATGTTCTTCTTGATGATAACTTCATGGCTAAGGTTTCGGATTTCGGGTTGGCGAAACTAATGAGCAGAGAACAAAGCCATGTTTTCACAACTCTAAGAGGAACAAGAGGGTATTTAGCACCGGAATGGATAACTAACTATGCGATTTCCGAGAAGAGTGATGTGTTTAGCTACGGAATGCTTTTGCTTGAGATTGTTGGTGGAAGGAAAAACTATGATCAATGGGAAGGAGAAGAGAAAGCACATTTTCCTTCTTATGTATCAAGAATGATGGAGGAAGGGAAAATAAGAGAAGTTATCGACAAAAAGATAGATATCGATGAGGAAGATGAAAGTGTTGTGACGGCTCTTAAAGTTGCCCTTTGGTGTATACAAGATGATATGAATTTGAGACCTCCAATGAGTAAAGTTGCTCAAATGCTTGAAGGTTTGTGTATTGTGAATGATCCACCATCTTTGTTACACTCAAGTAGTTATTCAAGTTTCTTGAAAATGAGTAGTGGAGAAGGTAGTTCATCAGGACAAGCTAGTTTTTATAGTAATGTTCCTTTGTCTTGTGTTCAGTTATCAGGACCAAGATGAGATAGATAACTAGATGTAGATGAATGTTGTGGATGCATATTCTTTATGTTTGGATTTATAATCATTATGAAAACCATTTTGAATATCAAAATTCATACAAACATGGAAAGTGATGTGTCTCACTTTAGTTGTGAGAAATGAAAGACATCATGGATGGATGCAGAAGTGCACAAAAGTAACTTATAAACACTGAAGTTTGAATAGAGGAATGAAAGTTTGTATTATTCCACAGTATGAATCAAAGACTCAGACACGGACGACGCCACACAACACGGATACGGACACGGACACTCTGACATCGATAATTTAAAAATATAGGACACCGACACCGTTATGTATATGATAATATTTGTGTTTCATTTATCTCTCTATCATTAAAAGAATTAAAAATATTCTAACCAAAATTAATATTTTTAATTCTTTATTGATATCATTGTTTCAAAATATGTTTAATCATTTTAGATGTTAATGAGATTTGTCAAAAAATGTATAAGGTATGATGAAGCAAAAACAAAAACAAATTTGTTTTGAAAAACTTGTCTAAATTGCGTGATAAGTGTTAAATGAGTGTTATACGGGTGTCGGACACCAATTCAATAAATATTGAAGCATATAAAAAAAATCATTTTCTTATGACACTTATTTGACTTTTTTCAACACGTGTCATACGACTGTCATACAAGTGTCTGACACCTACACATGTCAGACACTGCAACACACATACGCCTAGAGATTTCCGTACTTCATAGATTCCACCTGTTATACCCCAAAATTTGCCCTCCCATATTCCTCAAGAAATTGCCAAGCCAAGCTAGAAAATTCCCCAAGGGTTGTGCAGTGCAACAGTTTCCCATACAGTCAAAATTAGGGTTTGGGTTCTGATCAAGAAAAGGAAGTGTTCAAAGGCCCAATCAAGTCTCATATGCTTACAAACATGGTCAAGCATCCCCATGTCAAGTTTCAAGGCATTCAGCTCAAGATTGCACAGTCAAAACCCTAAATTGCACTACAGTCAACTGTAGGGGCAAAATGGTCATTTGGCAGTCAAAAGTTCAAATTTTTGGTCAATATATCATTTTGAAGCCACAAACATCATTTGATCAATGCTTGATCATGATTCTCAAAGTTTGGCTCAGAAATCATCAAAGATGCAAAAGTTGCTATATTTGGACAGCTGAAAAAGTCAACTGAAATTGACCAGGGCATAACTTTCACATGGATTATCAGAAAAATTCCATCCAAAGCTCATTTTGAAGAGGAAGACATTACCTACAATTCATCTTCATGCTTCAAGTCCAAGAAATGCTCTCACAAAAAGTTATCAATTTCAACATTACAGGTCATTTTCAAAAGTCAACAAAAAGGGACTTTAAGTCAAAGGCCATAACTTGAGATTGGTAAATCAAAATGACATGGGACCAAAGGCATTGGTTAAAGGACTCAAAGACCTTTCCAAAATGTCCAAGAACATGTGAAAAGCTTAAAAATTGAGCAAGTTATGCCTTGTAGAAGTTGGGAAAATTTTGTGAAATGGCAAAAGTCAACTATCCTTGAAAATCCAATTTTGACAAAAGGGCCCCATTTTTCTCACTTTGTCCATCCTTGTCATGCCACACACGTGGCCCATGGTTGATTTCAAGACCAAATGTTGACTTTTTTATTTTATTTAATTTTTGATGATTTAATTCATTTTAATTCATTAAAAATTCAAATAAAATTTAAAAATCAATGAAATGGTGTCATATGAATTTGGACAAGTTCTATGTATCATGAACCAACTCAAAAATCAGGCCAAGGTTCATTTACACACTAGGTCTAGGTTTTGGCTAGAAATTAGGAAAAAATGGTTAATGGATAAACCCTAAGGCCAATTCTCTAACAAGCATGAATTAAGGAGAGTTAGCAAGCCTATTCAATTCCATAATGATCATTGAGTCAAACCCTAACCCTAGTGCAGCAAAAAACTCGTTCAAAAGCCATTGGACACTTTGAAAATTTGGACATATATTGCAAATCTGAAATCAAAGCTAGGGATCTTCTAAAGCCTCAATTTTTATACCATTAGCATCCTGGACCATCACTGAACGCATTTCAATCCATAACCTCAATCAAAACGCAAAGAACTGGTAGTTACAAGTGAAACTGTACAGCAAATTGTTTGAATTCGTGTTCTTGATTCTAAGCCTCTTTTTGCATTTTTAATTACATATTCATACTCATGATGAAGTTTCCAAGCTGTCCATGGTAGTTAATTGCATTTTCATAAGCCATACACGATTTTGCCATTTTCGAATTCTAGGTTTCCCAGCTTCTTAAATTGGGGCTTTTGTAAATAAGAAAAATCAGAACTTCAGAGCAACACCATCACACTCAGCATCTTGAGACGAAGAAGAAGACATACTCGCGCCTAATTTATATTAGGAAACGAGCTATTCGCTATTTCTTCGTAGCTTACCTAATGCAACGTTTCAAAACCGTTGCTTTATTTTGTTTATGTTTCAGGAAATTGGAAGGGATGATGGCGTGTCACACGGAGACTGGGCAGTTTGAATTCGCGCGCGTGTTAGCCACTATGCATTGATTATTCCTTTTATTATTTCTTAACTATTATATGTTAATTGAATTAACTGGCTCAGATGGCAAGCAAGCGCGTGATTAATGCATAAGACCTGGGTTCGATCCCCAGGTCTACTTCACTTCAATATTATTTTTCATGTTAAGGTTCCATGCAGCGCTCACATAAGGACTCACCATGCACTGCAAAGTCAGTTCATCCACGTGTCCCAGATGATCATCCAAGGGTCCAGAACAAAGGCATAGGATGGATGCAAGTCAGCAGGCGCACACTTGAATGGAAAAAGTCAACAAATGGCCAGCAAATGGGCCAGGCTTGCATCTCCAAACTCAAATCCACACCCCCTGGTTCTATCTTTTTTTTTCTTTCTTTTTTTTTTCTAAATTTCTTTATATCTTATTATTTTTAAATTTACTTGTGTTTTATTTTCTGATTTAATTAATTCTTACAAAAAATGCAAAAAACATTAAAAAATACAGAAAGGACAAAAAAATATAATTAATTTTGATTCTTTTTTTTTAATAAATTAAAATATAACTCATTTAGTTTAATTAGGTCTTAGTCTTAATTTTAATTCTTTTTTCATAATAAAAATCAAAAAAATGTAGAATTAGGGTAATTATTAATTTTTATATCCTTTTTAATTTTTTTCCCTTTTTCTCACAATATTATCATTTATTATTTATTTTCTATAAATCAAAAATTGTACATAAATTAGTTTAGAATTTAATTAGGTTAGAAATTAAATCTTTTTTCATAATAAACTTAAAAAATGATAGAACTAGGATTTTAACTTTAATTAACTTTTCTCTTTTTTCTTTTAAACCTAAAAAACACAAAAACATTATTTTTCATTTAATTTTTAATTTCCTTGATTAATTTTAATTATTTGTAGAAAGGGTCCAACGCCCTAATTTTGTTAGTCTTTATTTCGCGCATTTATTTTACATTGTTTAAATACCTCTGTATATGCCCCAAAGCCATGTAATTTAAAAACTCTCGGACTTTTATTTATTCGCTTTATCTATTTTCAGTCAAATCGGGTTCGGTTTTTTTGGCGATGTGGACCCGCGCCAGTTGTAATAGTTAGATTTATTTTCTCGCAAATATAACTGTTAATAAATATGCATGAAAGAATGAATGCCCGAAAAATAAAATTGAATCGTTAGATCACCAATGCATGACAAGACAAACAATGAACTGAAAATGACACACAATTCGCACACACCACCCCTAGGGTACACCTCACTGTTGCCTTTCGAAAGGTGATCGTCGAGTAGAGGACGTCTTAGTAAGTCCTCATGATCCGGGAACCTGGCATGAGGGTAGCTTCTAAGGTGTCTTCCCATTGCTCCGGTGATCACCACGTCCCTAAAACTCGAATTGACCCGAACACCTCCAACGGTGGTGCTACCTACCTCTCAATGGTGGGATGGCACTACCTTAAAGGACATTTACGCAGACAAATTCCTTAAGGGTAGGTAGGTTCTCAAAGGTACTTGCTCTAATTTCAAACCAAACAAAAACTCTTTTCACCAACACTTTCAAAAACTTTCAAAACAAATTTTTCAAACACTCTGACGTACGAGTCGATCTGAAACTTTTCAAAGAATATTTTCGAAACCCACAATTGAAAAGCAAGCACACATTTTGAAAACACATTGAGCAAGTACCTAAGAGCCCATGGATAACCATGGATAGAAAGGGTGCTAATACCTTCCCTTTCTATAACCTACCTCCCGAACCGAGAGCAATCTCTTTAAAGGAATTTTTCTGTGCTTTTGTCCTTTCCTATTGGAGAAAATAAAAGACGGTGGCGACTCTTGCTTCCGCGACATTTCGCGAACCAGCTTTAAAACAGTCAGTTCCAGATCCACCGATCACAGAACTGGCGACTCTGCTGGGGAAAAACTTAAAGTGAGGTGTACCTTAGGACTAAGATCACTGTGTTTTCAATTGCTTTCCTTGTATGCTTTAAAATTGTGGGTTGCCTGGGAGTTCTATAGATCCTAACCCGGATCTGGGGAATACCTTCTTAGAAAGTAGCAACAAGGCTGTGAGGGAACTGTGCGGGGTATACCGACATGGTTGAAACAGTCTGCTACGTTGATGTGGCATTTTGGTGTGTACCGGTAACCCTTGAGTCAGTCAAGGAGAGTACGGGGCCTCCATGTGGTGTCATGAAGCATCAACAGACCTTAGGAACCTTAATTGAACCATCTTGGCCTCTTTAGGGTAGTGAGATAACTGACTTTGGTGCAGTCCGAGGTTGGTTGATACTCGATACTACACTCAATTGAGGGTTGCTTTCCTGGAATATTTCGGTCGCCAGTTCAGTGGCTAAATCGAAACGATGAACAATGAAAGCAATCCCGTGATATTGGGAACCTTAGAACCCGGTTACTTTGATTAGGACAGGTTGAAC